GGAATATGGAATGAAGTGTATGACTCAGGAAGCAGGGGCAAGGGTAGACTCTGTGATGGTACTTTATATTTAGGGCCCCCCTCAGGATTTTATGCCATACAGAGACTCTTGGCAAAGACATTTCTGAAAACTATTGGTCAATAGCGAAAGCCACAGACATCCCGGATTGGGACCAGGCATGTATACCTAGCCTATCCTTGGGCTTGGCTCAGGGCCCAGAGTGAGATGCCAAAAGGAAGACTCCAGTGTCTAGAATCCTAAATCAGTCACTCTAGATGCTGCTGATCCTTCACAAAACCAAGGTCACACTCCAAAACAGCCTGGTCCTCACAAAGCCCTTCCAGACAACTGGGAGTTAAGGATGGGTCAAAAGGACCTCCCCCTTCACCCTCCCAAGCTGTCTTACCAGATCTTCAAACCACCTCTGGGAAGCTACTCTGTGTTTGTGGTAAAGCGGGGATGTGAAAGACTGGCCTGGTTCCTGGTCTATGCTGTCATCCTCCGTAACCTAGGAGCCCATTCTATTCCACTGTCTGGCATGGAGGTAGATGTGGGTTACTGCTGTGGGGCTGGCCAGCACACATGGCCCACCAGGCTATACAGGAACCGCAGAGCAGAAGTGAACACACTCCAGAGTGGGGTTTTGTTGTTGTTTTGGTTGGCTGGGTGGCCAGTTTTTTGAGGTGAGCATCAGTGCTGCTGAAACGCGACTGGAAGTCACTATGTTGCTCAGGCTGGCTTGGAACTCATGGTAACCCTTCCAAATGCCGAGACTGTAGGCATAAGCCATCATGCTTAGTTCCAGGGTGAGTTTAAGAAGCTTCTCTGATGGGGTCAGACGGACACAGGGGTCAGCAAAGCCCTTCATGTGGCATAAGGGGTGTCGCGGTGGAGAATGTGGGCAGGGAGACGAGATGGGGGAGGGAAGAGTAAAAATACATGTACATACAGATAATATGACAGATGTGGAGAGAGAAGACCCCAAAGGCAGGCAGTGTGGGACAAGGCTCCATAGCAGAGTGGGAAAATTTGAGGAAGAAGGCAAATACTAGGTAGACTAAAAATGGGACAGAGATGCTTAGAGACCATCCTATCCTTCCCAAACTCCTGGTCCCACCGGCGTTGCTGAAGCAGGGGGATACACAGGCACAGGAAGAGGCAGGACTTCCCCTAGGAGTCTCCAATAAGACTCCAGTGCTCAAAAGGCTGGGCTGGGTGTGACACATTTTAGTAACTGACCTTGTATCTCTTGCCCCAAGCACCTCTAGATAAGATGAGACTGCAGGTCTGTGAGGAAGCCCCTAGAACCAAGGGTCCCTCCCCGTTGGCAAGACCAGACAACGTCTGCCACTTCATCACATTATTTCTATCCTTAAGTGGGCTGGGACAGGATGTTTCCATATCTATGGACCAGCGCAGGGCAGGAGGAGTGTGGCACAGGCCAGGCTGCTTTGGGCCCTGCTCCTTCCTACAGTCAGAAGAAACTAACAAAACAGGAACTGGAGCTGCAGCCTCCACTGGAAGGAAAGCAGGCCATCTTCAGAACAGGGGAAGGCCATGGAGGAGGCTCACTTCCTCACAATGTGGGCAGCTCCCCTTCCAGGACCGAGCTCCCCAGATTCAGAGGAAGGAAATCCGACAAGCCAGGACTGGAGGCCTGCGGGAAGCAGAGGCAGTTCCAGGGGGCTTCATCAGCAGGGTGTGTGTGTGTGTGTGTGTGTGTGTGTGTGTGTGGCTTGGTTCCAAAAGGGTTGGGGGAATAGTCCTTGGGTACAGTTTGATAAGTGGGTGAGGTCAGGATACAGACATATTACAGGAACTGGGGGTCGAATAGGGGATGGGAATGCCTGTGGCTGGGAGGTTCAAGTGTGGGCTTGGGGGCTGAGAACCTGGAAGGTGTTTGGGGAGACAGGTGGTGTCTGAGATGTCGGTGTCAAGTGGAGGGCATGGGAGAGCAGGGAGGGAGGCAAGTGTGTGGAATCCTAGAGACTCAGTAAAGGAATAATAAGACCTTGGGGTCTTAGGGACTTGGGTAATGGGCTGAAGTCTCTGGGTCCAGCTAAGTAATTCTATTTCTATGAAGGCTCTGATTCTGGATACAGGGGGCAGCCTGGAATGCCAGACCCAGAATTAAGCTTTTTGTAGGCCTGCGATTAGATGTCAAAGGCCTAGTTCTTGGTGGGTGCTGATGGCCCCCGGGGTCTCAGTCCTTATGGCTCTTGGGACTTAAGGTCAGATTCTCAAACTCCGTGTCTTGTAGAACTGAAGAAGCTGGCCGAGCTTCCTGGATCGGTTCTGCGTACCGGTAAAGGGGTTCGGTAGAGAGGCCTGGCAGGGAGGGACACACTCACCTGCAGACGATGCAGGTAGGCAGGCGGCACGTACCCCGTCTCGCCACTACGTGCCCGTGCAGCTAACCACCAGTGTGTGCTGCTGCGCTCCAGCACCAGGAAGGTCTCGCCCGCAGCGAACGCCATGGCGTTGGGCTCCGCCGAGCGGAAGGCATACAGCGCGCGGTACATGGGGCCGGGTCGCCGGTTCTGGGTACGCGACGAAGGTTGCGATGCCGGGAAGCCAGGCCTTGACAGCCGCGCCGCGCCGCGCTCGCCCCGCCCCGCCCCGTGACACGCCGCGCGTGCGCATGCGCGACCGCCGGAGCCCCGCCCCGGGAGCGTGTTGGTTCCAGCATTGGAGCGCCGCGCCCCCTCGCGGCCCTGAGAGGTTCTACGGGGCGGGGTGGGGCTCCACTAGTGGTTTCTTGGCCCCTCAGACCTCAGACTCCAGGTGATTCCGGGTCCTAGCTCCCGCTTCTAGGCTAGCTTTCCTGCTCAGGTGGAAGCAGTGCTTTCCTTCCCGCCTCCTAAGGAAGGCTCACAGGGCTTGCAACCGATGCGTTCCCAAAGACCGGATGAGGCACTTTGCTTTGAGGAATACTGATCAGACATTTGGAAGTCCCTCACGGGGTGGGATCGTCTCAGAGTGTCTAGACCTCACAGTGACTTAGCACCAAGTCCTAGCTTTGTCACTGAGGTAGTGGACAAGTGTGGAGGACGAGAGACAAAACCAGGTCGTACTGTTCGGGATGCATCTTTGTGTCCCCCCCCCCCACACACACACACAGGCTTCCTTTGTATCCTGAGCCTTTGCAGCTGTTCTCTGCTGAAGCACTCCCTTCTGGACCATGCTCCAACTTCTATCCATCACTGTTTTGTGTCACAAAGGATTCAAAGTCTATGACCTTGAGGTTATAGTCATTCATAATAAAATCTCTCTGTGTATCTCCCCTTTTAAAGGCAGTGTGTTACATAATCCTGTCCTCCTGCCTCAACCTCACAAATGGCTCTTCTGGGAAAAGGAGGAATGAGGGGCAGAAAGAAGGCTAATAGGGCAGGATTGAATGCACGGGGTTTGGAGAACGTGTTTTGAACCCAGAATGACGGTATAGTCCCAGCATCCAGGAGGCAGAGGCTAGATAAAGGTCATTTCAAGATTAGCCTGAGCTTCAGTGAGGCCCTGTCTCAAAGAAAAAAAGAAAAACATCCTTCGGCTTTATTGTCAGCCCAGACCTCCAAATCCTTGTAACCCTTGGCAACCCTGAGTTCCAGTGAAGAGGGCATCGAGGGTCCTGAGGAGTGGCATACTCTCCACTAAAGTCTGACTCTAGGGAATGTGGGAGGCATACACCATCAGACTTAAAGTTATTTATTTTTAATTTTATTTCTTTTTTTAGACAAGGGCTCACTATGAAGTTGTAGCAATCCTAGAATTATGTACACCAGGCTGGCCTTGAATTCAATCGTCTACCTGCCTTTGCCTCCAAAGTATTGGGACTAAGGTGTGTGCTACCCACCAGATCTCTTTTTTTTAAAGACAGTATCTCAAAGGGGCTGGAGAGATGGCTCAGAGGTCCTGAGTTCAATTCCCAGCAACCACATGGTGGCTCATAAACCATCTATAGTGGGATCTAATAACCTCTTCTGGCATAAAGTTTCACATGTAGATAGAGCACTCATATACATAAAAATAAATATTTGCCAGACAGTGGTGGTACATGGCTTTAACCCCAGCACTCAGGAGGCAGAGGCAGGTGGTTCTCTGTGAGTTCGAGATCAGCCTGATCTACAGAGTGAGTTCCAGGACAGCAAGGGTTGTAACACAGAGCAACCCTATCCCTAAAAACAAACAAACAAACAAAAGACAGGGTCTCACTATGCAATGCCAACTGGCCTGAAGCTAACAGTAACCCATTGCCTCTGCCTCACCTAGCCTTCACTGATCTATTTTTAGACATCCTAAAGGTAGGCCCAGTGGGACTTGGAGAGCTGTCAGAAGGTTCAGCTGAGACAAGAATTTGACATCCAGACCCTGGCTTTTCCATACCAAATCTGTTTCTGCCAATGTTTTCCTCCCCCCTCCCCCACCCCCTTCCAGCAGCTTTCCAGGCACACAGCAGCAACAGCTCTTTGGGGAATGCTGGCAAGTCTTTGTGAAGGCAAGACTGAAATGCATACAGGACTGCTGAGTAGGAGCAGCAGCGACAGGTGTTGAAGCTTGCCCCAAACTACATGTCCTCTACCTGGGCACATGGCTTCCAGTACAACAGAGACAAGTGGCTAGAGACCCCAGCATGGGATCCGGAATATCTGAGATTACTATATCCAGCCAATTAATTATTTGCTGCTAACATGTAGGAGAAATCAAGGACCCAAAGATTGGAGTACCTGTTGTCCAGCTCCCAACTTCTCCTTAAGCTTCGTAGGGCCATGGGAAAACTTATGCCAATTGTACTTTTGAGTAAGAATGGTTAAGACCAGCCAGAATAAAATCAGTGACCTGGCTCAGTAAGCTTAGGGGGAATATCTGTTTTTGATGATTGCAGGTGCTAAACTGGGACACTATAGACAGAGCCAAGCCATAGTGATGACTTCCATGCAATCTACAGAGTGGGTACAGGGACTAGGAGGGAATCTGCATGCTTAGAAAGAATGACAGCATCACTGTTTACAATAAACAAAAAGATCTGTATTAGAACATTTACACTCAGGGAAGGAAGAGGTATCTGCATCATCAAATGTGGAATGTTGAAGAAATAGTTAAAATAAATAACAGACTCTGAGCACAGCTGGGACTGGCTCAGGCTAGGGGGTCACAGAGGCCACTGTCTTTCAGCTCCAGGCTGCAGGGGCCACCACCTGGTCACACTGGCCTCCCCCGACAGCACAGCTGTGGGGCACAGAGTCTCAGGCACTAGAGTAGTCAGCAAGCTCACTCCCCACTGTCCTCACTTATGTCTGTTACAATGTCTATCAGGCTTTGGAGCCCAAAGATATAGCCAGCATCCTGGCCCTCATGCACCACACTGTCCTCGCCATACAGCCTGCAGGTGGTGTGTGCGAAGTCAATCATGCGCACATCCACCGAGCTGGCACCAGTGGGTTTGTAGGCATAGGCGCCAGCAGACTCATCGGCAGACTCTTCCGAGAGGTCTTCCAAGTCCTCGGCATCTGAGTCCAGGGTCACTTCTGGCCATTCCTTGCCATCGTAAATAACCAGCAGGGAACTTGAATAGAAGCGGTAGGATTCCTGTCGCTCCAACACGGCCTTGAGCTCAGTTAGCTTCTTAAGCACAGGGCCCAGGAGCTCACGGCGCAGGTACCGCCCATTGTGGAAAAACTGGAAAAGAGCCTCTTTGAAGCCCTGTACCGAAAGCTTCCGCCCATGGTACTTGTTCATGAACATGAGCTGCCCAGTACCTGCCTGGTACACCTGTGGGAGAGACCAGCAAGTCAGGGTCAGAAGGCTTTTCAAGACCTCGACACTGAGTGAGAGAGGGTGATGTGACTGGCTGATGAGGTCGTGTGACTTAGTGCATCAGTCACACAGAAGCTCCTGTCTTTGATCAGCATCTACCCAGAATACGCCCCATCACCTACGTCCAGTCACTGTATTCAAGGCCCCTATTCTGCAACTACATCAATAAAGGTGGCTTAACTCTGTATCCTAGCATATGGACACATACATATGGACTCAGCCAGCCAGACTAGCCTCAGAGGGCTCAACTGGGCAGGCACACATGCTTTCTTTTTAAACCAGAAAGCAAATAGGCTCAGGTAAGGCCAAGCTTGGATTTTAAAAAACAAAACATTGTAATTTGTATGTGTGTTGTGTGTGTATATGTTCGTGCTGGAGATCAAATCCAGTGCTTTGTGTATAAAAGGCAAACATTCTACCATTGAGCTATATCTCCAACTCACTCAAATCTGCCTGGTTTTGGGTAGTGGGTACTGAACCCACAGCCCTGGGTGTTAAGTGCACACTCTACCAACTGAGATATACCCAACTGAGTCTGTGTTGTTGCTGTTTTAAATAAACCAGACTGGATGTATTTACTAAGGGAAAGTGGGGAAAACTGAGTGGAAGGAGTTTTAAATTGCCAAAGGATAAATAACCCAAATGTGAGCTCTTCAGAGCATTCCAGAGTTCTAAGCCACAGGGATGTGACAGCCACCGGGTACCCTAGTAGTCTTTCCTCACCTGCATGCCACACACGCGTACACCAATGACTGCAGACGTGCTCTGCTGACATTTCCGGATCTGGTTGGCTGCTTTCTCCTCTGAAGCATCATCGCCATGCTGGCGTGTGCCCATCTTGAGGTCCAGGACACAAGGTACCTCGTAGCGGGAAGTCAGGTTCTCCAGTAAGATAAATTCTGAGTAGTTAAGGACAATACTCCAAAAGGAAGTGTTTGCACATAATGACTAAAGAAGCCTAAGCCCACAGGCCCCTCCACTTATTAGCTGTGCTGTCTCCCACAGACGGAGTTCATAGCTGAGGAGAAATCTCAGAAGTACCCTTGATCTGTTGGGGAACTAGTATAAATAACTAGCCAGTGTTGACACTCAACACAGGCCTAGGGCTCCCAGCTAGAGATGCACATACCAAGTCTGTGCATCTCTGGGTATCTGTAATGGACTGTGCATGTGGGGACACACCAAGAGGATGCTGATTCAGATTCCCAAAGCTGGAGTTACAGGTAGCTATGAGCCACCTGAGTTGGATGCTGGGAACTGAATTAGTGGTCTCCAATAGCAGTGTGAGCTCTTATTCACTGAACCATCTTTCCAGCTCAGGTGTTATATTTTTAATAAAAAATATATGGTATTTTATCAAAAATATCACAATACACAACATGTTTTGACCTAGGAAGGGGATGGTCAGGGCTGGGAACAAGGCTCGCTTGTTACATAATCCTGACACCCTATGTTTGGATCCCCAGAATCTATGTGAAAACTGGATATGGCTGCATGTCTATAATCCCATCATTCTTAAGGTGAGATGTGAGGCAATGATAACAACTCCCTGAGAGGTCTAGGACTAGATCACCTGGAGAAGTCCACTGGGAAGTGCCAAGGAGACACAGCCTCACATAAGGTAGAAGGTGAGGACAGGTGAAGCTGTTTTCCAATACCACATGCATGCCATGGCACCGTTTACCCTCACAATCAAACAAGTACACATACATCATACACAAACGAATCTTTAAAATAAAAGCTTTGATTACAGTAAGTAACTTTCAAGTTTTACTAGAACATAGCCACCTTCATTCATACTAACATCTATGGATGTTGCTATAGCAGCAGAGTTGGTGACAATAGATTGTATGGCCTAGGAAACCTGAAATACTCACTATTTAGTCCTTTCCTGACTTCTGCTTAAAAAACAAAAAAACAAAACAAACAAACAAAAAAGGTTTAACTGCTGGGCAGTGGTGGCTCATGCCTTTAATTCCAGCACTCAAGAGGCAGAGGCAGGCGGATCTCAGAGATTGAGGCCGCCTGGTCTACAGAGTTAGTTCCAGAATAGCCAGGGATACACAGAGAAACCCTGCCTCAAAACAAACAAACAAACAAAAGGTTTAAGTTAATACCTGGGACAAGAAATATATACACAATCATCTCCTAGACCATCTTCTCCAAATCAGAAAGGAAGACAACAATTAAAGACATTTTAGGCCATCAGTCAAGGTAACAGTTGTAAGGCTTGGAGATCTGACTCAGTGAGAGAGAGTTTGCCTACAATTCACAAGGCCCTGGGTTTGATCCTCAATACTACACACAAAGTCTAAAACATCCTTCAACTGACGAAATACATCCTTCAACTGACGAAATACATCCAATATGCTTAACTCATACATTCAAGATGATGCTAAAATCATACTATGATGGCTGCCTCTGGAGGGTTCTTAAGGTGAGAGGTGAGGCAATAATAACAATTTTCTTCTTGAACCTGGAGCTCATCAACTGGCTAGACAGGTGGCCAGCAAGTTCTAGGGGTCTTCCTATCTCTGCCCTACATCAATGGGGTTACAGACCTGAGCTGTCATGCTCAGATTTTCTGTGGGCATTGGGATTCAAATTCCGATCTTCATGTTTGCAGAGCAAGCCCTATCTATAACCACAGAAACATCTCCCTGGTGTTGATCTTATTTATTTGTTCTGACAAGAAATCTCTAAGATGAAAAAAATGGGAGTAATATTTTAAGTCTCAAACACTTCAACACTACATATGAATTTTATATGAATCTTCCCTCAAACAGACCAACAATAAAAACAAAGAACTACAGGCAACTAAAGGATGCTCAGAGTGGGAGAAACAGTTTTTCCCAGGAAGAGCATGTCATTTAGGAACACGAACACACACACACACACACACACACACACACACACACACACACACACGCAACAGCAATTAATGAAAAAAACAGGCCATGAATTTGAAAGAGAGCAAGGAGTATGGGTTTGGAGGGAGGAAAGGGAAAGGGGAAATGAAAAAATTTGAAGATGTCAGTTGTGGGGCAGTGAGTACATGCAGACAATCACGACAGGAGACTGATGCAAATCTTAGTGACACGTACTTAGGAAATCAATTCTCAGGAGTTTCAACCCACATGAAGGAGAGAACAGACTCCTGCAAATTGTTCTGACCTGTATGTGTTCCTAACCGTGGGCAAATCCAACCCTGGGTTGGATTCCTAGGACTGAAACAAACAAATCTAGGACAGTGAATGACAGTGGACCGGAAAAACGAGGACCCTGGGACTTTGTGTATAGCTCTGTACGGCGGACTGGTAAGCCAGCACTGAAATACTAGCCCCATCACTCCCGTCAACTGGTGCAGGGGAGTCTGAGCAGGAAACAGTCTCTTGGTCACCCAGCACAAAAGTCCACTTGGTACAAGATGGCTTCTTCATGAGGTTCTCAGAGACCCACTATTCTCCCTTACGTGTACTCTGAGATCAGGTTCTACTCCTGAGAGAGGTGACAGTCACCCAGTTATCACACAAGGTTGTCCTGGGCACAACTTTTATAGTGGAAATTAACTATAGCTAATATAAAACAAAACAAGGCCCATTAGATGGCTCAGTGAGTTCAATTTTTGGAACCTGCTTGGTGGAAGGAGAAAACTGACTTCTGCAAGTTGTCATCTGAAGAACATACCCACACCCAATACAGAACACTTCAGGTAGGTGTAGTGGCAGGCACCTGTAATCCCAGGAATCAGAGAAGAGTCTCCTAGTTCCTCTGGGCAATAGAGACCCTGCTATCATAAATCAACCAACTACCCAAGTTCTCTCTTCCAACCTTCCTTGCTGCTCCTCTTCATTTCCCCCGAGGTAAAAATGCCTTATGGCAAAGGATACTGTACTGGTTTCGATGCTTTGCGTTCTCCTTCATTCTCTGTAACTGTTGTTGATGACATTTCATGCTCCAAGGGTTATAGTGTTTAAGCTGGGAACTTATATTTCCCTTTTTTTCTACACTGTAGTATAAGACTTCAGATTTCTTTAGCCACTCAAATTCTTCTTCTAACTTATGACTATAAACAAATAAGGATTCAATGAATCATAATGTAGTATCAAAATTAAATATGAAAGAATAATGAATCAGTTTTCTAGAGTAATGGATATTTATTTGATGTGGTTACTATATATATATATATCCAAACTCATATATTTAAGCGGGTGCATTTTATCATGTATCTACTTGTAGAAAGTTGATTCAAAATTTTAAAAGGGAACAGTCTACCACTATTTTCTATAGCAAGTCATAACAATGGCCTTTTCTCCCCAACTTATGAGGCAGAAGTCTTCATTTCCCCCTTTTCAGGCATTATGACTCCTGGCCTCTGGTATACAGGGTCTCGAACTCCAAAGACCAGGAAACAGTGAAGTAAAACTGCACTGAAATCAGTTAATCTACTTGACCACATTACACATACTTTACATTTTTATTCTACACTTTTATAAGTTCTGGCTGAACACCTGTGGGACTTATAAGGTCCTGCCCGAATGGGTCCTCATTTTGTCCCCCACCATTAGCAAGCAACCTGGGGTAGAGGAATGAATGGCTCTCCTCTGCCTGTGGCCAGGCACAGAGCAATTATGGAAGGAATGAGTCAATCCCTTTTACAGGTGCCACTTCAGCTATTTATGCAAAATGGCATGATCTAATCCAGAGCCAATCAGAGACACCAGACACGTGGGACCAGCAGTGAGTGAGTCACCTACAGGTCCACTATGCGTTCTTAGCTTCAGGGAGGAAGACTATAGCCAGGCCCGCAATACTTCCTCTCCCACACAGCACAAGGCCCTCCTCTCAGTTTTACTCACCTCTTCATCTTCTCCTCTTTCCGGTGTTGACGCACCCAATCCTTAGGACTCTTTTCTGTTTCTAGGACATGATGTTTTTTGTTTGTCCACCTTAGCAGCTTACTTTTTGGTTCACAGTCTGAATTGTCTACAATGTCCACAGTTGCATGGTCCCCCTTTAACGGATATGCTATTAAACACAAGTTCCTGTCTTCATCTTCTTCAAAGCGCACGGATACCACACCTGAAAGCGGGGTGAGGAGCAGAAGGGACTTTTAATTCCACAGAAAAAAGCATTCTAGATAACATGATTGTAACATTTGTTTTGTTTCTTACCCTGTTCCTTAGTCTCTATGTTGCCAGAGGCCCCAAACTCATCTGCAAACCTAACAAATATCAAAACAGCTAGAAAAAAGTGACACCATACAAGACAAGCAATTAGGGAGCAAACATGGCCAAGAGAGAGGCTTCCTCTCTAGTGCACTCAACAAGGGAAGGCAAGGGCCAAAGAATTACAAGACACACTTTTCCATCATTGAAAATGTTTATTAATTTTTATGTAACTCTTCTAATCCTGAGAGAGACACAAAAAAAAACATCGCTCTATATACCTTATAAGAATGTGTATGCCCTGAACAGAAACTCCGGCGGCCTGGAGGCTTGCTTTAAAGCCAAGCCCGAATGAGGGGGACACAGGTGTGTGTGCCTTCAGGTGAACACACTGAGGAGGGGGAAGGACTGGGTAAGCAAAGCAAAGTAAAGCAGCAAACAAACCACACAGCACAGACACCCTGGCCAAGGCTTCTACAGCACCCTCCATGGGTGGCTGAGCCAAGCCTTCTGTCCTTCTCAATTAAGCTTTTATTGTTTTGTTTTGTTTTTTGTAGTTTTGTGTCACAAAAGAATAAAATGAACACCAGCAGATGAGGGGCAGGAACACAGACACATGGTAGCCTTGAAAGCAGCTCTCCCCTTGAGTCTCTAGCACCTGCCATGTGTAATTAGACAGTCTCTGAGGAAGGGGCTGCCAGGTGGGAGCACTTCAGCGGTGCCGACGAGCGCCTTATAGCCGACTGGCTGAACACCTTTCCTCCTAGGCCTCTCTGCCCCACGATCACTCAATCTGCTCAGTCCTTGCTGCCCGCCCGCTTGCTTGCTGCAGGGAAATGCGTGCTCACTTCTGAGGTGGCCCCAGCTCTGGGCGCAGAGGAGCGGGAGGGGGGTGTCAGGGGACCACACTTCCCTGTGGGCATAAGGAAGGACCAAGGGGATAAAAACGGGGCAGGGGTGGCCAGCTAACAAGGGAACTTTGGCTTTGTCCTGGAAAAAAAATAACAGAAAAGGACCAAGTGAGGGTCCCCAACTCCCCCCACCAGCCCACCACATGCATTTCCAAGTAGAGAGAGGCAACCCAGTCCATCCTGTCTTAAAGAACAATGTTTTCACTGTCCCAGGATAATTTACGTTGTCCTAGTCTTTTTTTGCACCCGGTAATACACATTTAAAATTAATTTCTTAAGATTTTTTTTCTCATTTACAAAAGGTCCCCTCTTCCCCAGGAAAGACCACACCATGCTGGTGGTTGATGTTCCCTTGAAGTGTATCATTATAAAAAGAGAGGAAAAAGTCGCTACATGTGAATCAAAGGGTTGCCTTCACACAGCAATTCTGGGGACATTCTGTAATAGCCAAGGACTTGAGCTAATCAGCACAATCCTCCCACTCCTGCATTCCATCTGACTCAACCCTGCTCCCAGCCTACCTAATCACCAGAGCTTCTGGTTTCCTGGAGGACAAAAAGCAGGCAGCAAGAATTCTGGGTAAAATCCTCCTAAAGTCTTCCAGAACTGTTCCCACATGGGGACTATGGGTTACCTTGAGCAAGAGACACCTGAACATAAAAATAACTATACTTCCAACAAAAATAAACTCAAAGCAAATCCAGAAAACAAATCAATTGGGCAATCTTACCAAGGCTTGCAAACTGGGGGTGTGAGGTGCTGGGCCGAGGGCCAAGAGGAGGAGAAGGGAAAACAAAAGGGTAAACGGGAGGGGGGTGAGGGCTCCCAGGACTGCTGCCTGGGCCTTCCACTGTCACAACCCCTTACATCTTACCAGCCTGGCGACCCCTCTAGCAGCTGGGGGCTCACCTTTGTACTGGGGAGTGAATTTGCGCATCTCAGCTGGGAGGGTCTCGTAGAACTGATGCTCCCTCGGAACCAGGGGCTTGCACAGGGTTGTCTCGTTGAATCGGAGAACACATGAGTGCCCCCCAACCTGGTGGACAAAGGGCTCCAGGAGGACGCCCTTGGTGCGGGGCTCCACGTCCATGGTCCTGAAGGCTGGGCTCATCCTCCGGACACAAGCAGCAGGGAGAAAGGGGAGGCAGCGGTGTCCAGCGGCCAGCGCGTCCTCCGTTTACTGCCTGTCCTTACGTCTGTCTGTGTGTTCTCTGCTCTTAGGTTTGTACAGGCGAGGGCACTCTGGCGGAAGCAAACACAATGACATGAGGTTTGGAAGTAGCCTGGGAACCGCCTTTCAGTCAGTCAGTCAGTACTTGGCCTCCTCAGCAGGAAGACAAACAGCCTGAGCTCACACAGGGCTCCGCCCACACTGCCTAACCCTGCCCCGCCTCCTTCCAGAAGAGACAAACACTGGGAGGGGGAGGGAGGTAGGGGCGGGGCAGATAGTGACAGGCAAGGACTGAGCTCCAGGGACCCCTAAACCGCCAAACCTGGCCAACACAGCGTAAGAAGCCATTACAACAGGCAAAACACAAAGCCACGATGGCGTAAAAGCACCGTTTCCAACACAGTATTCAGATAAACCTTACCATTTTCTAATTAAAGGTTGTCACACTTGAAGGTAAATGCTGTCTAAGTTACTCTGCTAATTATATTTTTATAAAATGTACTTAAATACGGGGAAAACCAACTTACGCATTGTTCGATAAGATCTATTCCTTTAGGGCGTCCACAAACACTGCCCCTTGCCAAAAGCCAAAGCCAGACCCCATTAACCTTATTAGCAATGGAGCTCTGAACCCGCTTTAATGATTAACGTCTGTATCTAAAAACAACCGATTGAAGCTGGCTAACTCCATTGTAAAAGATACACAGTGTTCTAGGTCACCAACTATTTTTATCAGTACTATCCTGATCACCCAAAGCTGAGGCACACCTTTAAACTAAACTTATTACTCCTGGGCCAGTCAGGTCTCTCCTCCACCACACAACCCTGTCCTTACATCTAATTGGGGCCCCACAGTCAACAACAGACTCTATCCTATCAGCAGGCACACAACCTGTGTACTCAGGTAACTGTCTGAGAGCAGGTCAAGCTGGTTCTGTTTCCCACCTGTAAGCTACAGATGCAGGCATCCTCCCGAGGCTCTACTATACCACCTTTCATGAGTGCTGGGGACCTTGCTGGTGGAGAAGTCCCTTTCCCAGGACTCCCCCAGGGAATGGGAGTAAAGAGGAAGAGCCTGCTGCAGATGTGCCCACTGTTCTTCACCACGGGTAAAGCACCTACTATGACGCTGGCTTGCGATTGCACTGCTTGCTTACTTGGCCCTCGTGGTATTTCTATGAGACAGACACTACCCTCCTACATACACATTAATGTGCAGAGGTTAGGAAACACCCCAAGCTATCCACCAGACAGAGAGCCACAGCTCCAGGCTGAACTCTAGACTGCTACTGCTGGATGTCCCAATGCAACTGCCTCCAGGACCTTAGGCCTCAGGACCCCCTCTCCCAGGCAGGTCTATATTTCTGCTATCCACAGGCAACATTAGCTTGTCTCCTGAGAGTGCTCTCTCTTCCAAAGTCTGTATTTTCTACACAAATAATGTAAGTTGGTGTCAATGTTTTACCCTTTTCTGCTGTAGTTTGTTGGTGTTCATGTCTTCCTTTCAGAGAGCCTAACTGTGGTCTCAACAATAGTAAATTCATATGCTTTCCTATATGTTAAGAGTCCCAAGGGTCCTGACCTCTCACCTGGCATTGCCTTCTTTCTCATTACCACCACAGACCCCTCAGGAGGACATATACCCTGAGAAAAGTCCCAAAAATCACTAGGCAATGGGACTATAAGAACGCATAAACTCTGACAAACTTTGAGCCTGCTGCAGCAGGAAAGTTAACCCATGCCGTTGTTCTCGTCCCTCAAGGCAAACTGTTTACAGGCTCCAAGAATAAAAAGAATGCCTCATTCCAGCATTCCATCAAATATGGGATGCCTCAGAACTCAAGCTCTTTTTCTCTCTTCTTTAGTTTTTCAAGACAGGGTTTCTCTGTGTAGCCCTGGCTGTCCTGGAACTAGCTCTGTAGACCAGGTTGGCCTTGAATTTACAAAGATCCACCTGCCTTTGCCTCCTGAGTGCTGGAATTAATTAAAGGCATGTGCCCCTACTGCCTGGCTCTAAAATACTTCCTGAGACAGCAATACTGGAGGAAAGCTCATGACTCACAGCCAGCCTGCCAGTACCACATGGGTCAGGGACCATCCTTATTAAACAGAGTACAACACGCTCCCCAATGCCCAGGCCTTGGAAACAAAATCCAAAGTGTTTGTCAAGATATAAAACTACCTTTGTGCTAGGTGGTGAAGGCCTTTGATCCCAGGACTTGGGGAGAAACAGGCAGGCACATCTCTAAGTTCAAGACCAGCCTGATCTACGGAGCAAGTTCTAGGACAGGCTCCAAAGATACACAGAGAAATCCTCTCTTGAAAAATAAATAAATAAATAAATAAATAAATAAATAAATAAAACTGCCATTGGTCTAAGAACAATGCCAGGCAGCAGGGAGGCCCCATAAGTTAGGACGCTTCAACAGAAGGACCCAGACTGAACTAAACAGAGTTCCAAGTCCTTTGAAAACATTTTTTTTCCCCAAAAATAAATAAAAAGTGATGGCTCAACATTGGCTGCAGAAGCCCAACACACAAGCCTCATGACCTGAGTTTGTCCCAAGAAGCCATGTATTGGTGGAAGGAGAGAACATACTGCCCAGAAGTATTCTCTGAACTCCACATCTGTGCCCACACAAGTATACATCACAAACACTAATAGTAACAGGTTTTAAAGCCCCCAATGCACTTAAGTAGTAACTTAATCAAGCTGAGCACTTGAGAACAATCCCCAGAGCCCACAACCTACAAAACAAAGGACCTGGCGAACCGTGCTTGCAATCCCATTGCTGGGGAAACTGAGGCAGGATGATTCTTGAGGTTCACTGGCCAAACAGCCTAACTATCAGTGTGCTCCAGGACCAAAGGCCCTGCCTTGGAAAAGCAAGGTGCACAATTCCTGAAGAATAACACCTGAGACTGACCTGCACCTGAACACACATATGCATTCATATAAACACATGCATATATATGTGGCACACACACACACACACACACACACACAACTCCTTAAATACATTCAACTAAGAACCAGGTATCTCTCATCTATCCCTCCAATGAAAAATTTCAAATGGTTCCTTGGCATCTATGTACAGTGTGGACCATGGGCTGAAAGGCCCAACTAGACTCTACCCCCTTCCTAGGTCTAAGTGTGCATAGCTACTAGACATAATATGCCAACTTTGCTACTAGACATAATATGTCAACTTTGCCACCCTCCCTTCTCATCTAACCCCACCACCACCACCAGAGTCTCACTGTGTAGCTTTGGTTGTCCTAGAACTCACTCTATAGACCAGGCTGCCTTGAATTCACAGAGATCCGCCTGCCTCTGCTTTCCAAGTGCTGGGATCAAAGGTGTGCGCCGCCATGCCTAGATTCACCTTGATTCTCCCTGCATCACAGTGATGCTCCCAGGAGAAACATCATCTTGGGTAGAGGTAGGAAAAATAAGGCTCATTCTTGCCTGAGCCAAGTCTGATGACAGAGAAAACTCCCAAATGTGAAGTGGAACTAGAAAATGTTTTAGGCAGTAGTAAAGTAGGGCCAGAGTCTTTGCCACTAAATTGCTCGGGTGGAGACTAATACTTGGTCCTTGGTTCCCTTCCTCCTTTGGAGATCATTTTCTTTTCCTTTCCCTCCCTCCCTCCCTTCCTTCTTTTTCAAGACAGATTTCTCTGTGTAGCCTTGGCTTCCCTGGAATGTACTCTATAGACCAGACCTTCCTCTGCCTCCCAAGTGCTGGGATTAAAGGCACACACCAACACCTGGCTGTTCTGTAATTCTTTTGTTTCGACTATGTGTAACTTTACAACATGAATTTAAGAATGATGTCACTGTGACACAGGTTAGAAACAGTGCGAAAGGTGACTCAGTTCTAAGTACCTTTGGACTTCCCCAGGCATTACAAAGTCCATCAACTTCCTCCCTAGACACCTCAGGAGAAAGAACAGTGCCCGAGTACCTGCTCTCTGCTCCACAGGCAGTTTGAGTAGGATGTTACTAGTTTTTTTTTTTTTTTTTCTCTCTCTCTCTCCTTCTTCCCCTAATAAAGCAGTCTTGCTATATAACCTAAAACTTACAGCAATCTTCCTGCCTCAGACTCTGAAATGCTGTATTATAGGTATGTGCCACTGTACCCAGCCTGTCAGTAATTTATAAACATCCAAACACTACGGCTCACTTTTTCAGAAGCCCTGGGTTAGCAATGGTTGCTGTGAAGCTCTTGCAATCTAGAGACCAAGAAGACCTACAAAACCCTGGCTTCAGACTCAGCAGCAGGTTTAGGTTCTCACACTGGCCTACAGCTGTCCATGAGACTACAAGTAAAAGCAGAGTATGACCCATCCTAGAAAGGGATAGACAATGCTCCCCACAGCCCACCCCAAGACGAATTAACTGTCAGTTTAAGGATTTGCTGAACCAGTACTTTAGAGTTCTTAATGTTTGTTTGTTTCCCCAGTGCTGCAAGCTAAACACCTGTGACTAAAGCCCTGGGCTCTTAGCTCACTGCCCAGAATTTACTTAATGAGACAACAAATAGGATCCACAGGAGCCACTTACTCTGCCTCAAGAAAAGCCCCAGGGTCAGGTGGTCACCAGGGATTGTATGAGGAGCCACAGCCTCAGGCACAAAACAACCCTTTGCACTGAAAGCTCCACAATGGGCCCTGAAGGCACCACTTAACATCTGCCCATCACAGCTGGTACACAATCCACAGTTACACAAGCAGGGTCAGTCTTTGAAATGCTCCTACACGACTGGTAGGAGCACAAAGCTACACACATCATAGTGACAGAACATAGGTAAGGAGTTACTGACAGGACAAAGCGGAGGCCAGGGTTGACTGAGGCCCCAGAAACTGGGATAAATATGCCAAGTACTCATCAAATCATAGCCTTAAAATTGCCTCACTTTGGACATATTCAGTCACATAACAAGGTCAACCTGGTTACTATCTTGGCCAAAGTTAAGTCACCTTCCTAGTTTGTTTGGTTTTGTTGTTGTTGTTTTCTCTAATTCTATTCTTGAGACAGCCTAACTATATACCCAGCTTGGTTTTGAACT